CTAAATATATAGGTATAGATTATTATAGAATCACAGATTTTTAGTCTTGGCTGACTTCTTATAAATTATAAAGTCCAAGCTTGTTTTTTTTGTTTTTTTTTTTTTCTGTTTTTTCTGTTTTTGTGCATTGTACATGAGGAAATCAGTCATCTCTCTCGTTTTTTTTTTTTTTTTTTTTTTTTTAAAAGACAGAGTTTTTGCTCTGTGTGCAGGCTGGAGTGCAATGGCACAATCTCAACTCACTGCAACCCCCATCTCTTGGGTCCAAGCGATTCTCCTGCCTCAGCCTTCTGAGTGGCTGGGATTACAGGTACCTGCCACCATGCCCGGCTAATTTTTGTATTTTTAGTAGAGATGAGGTTTCACCATGTTGGCCAGGCTGGTTTTGAACTCTTGATCTCAGGTGATCCATCCACCTCAGCCTCCGAAAGTGCTAAGATTACAGGCATGAGCCACCACACCCAGCCAGGAAATCAGTCCTTTCTCTACAAGCCACTAAGCTACTTGAGACAAGGAGTCATACTCTTAAACATTTCCTTTCATACATAAAGCAATGACTTTAGTTATTCCTGCATTTTTGGTAGCACCTGGTGCATGCAAGATAGATTCCCAAATGTTAGTTGAAAGAATTGCTTCATGGAAATCAATTTCACTAAGTGTATATTTAGAACTAAACATTATGTGGATAGTCTGTGCTCTTATCTTTGGCTTCTCACCATCTCACAAGAGGTCCGACCACCTACAGCTACCTTACTAGCTCATTTTGTTGAATCTCCTTCACTTTAGATCCAATTCTTATTTCCTGTTCATTCTTTTGCAGTGGCATTCTGAGCAGCCTGAGCAGCCAAATGGGCATGTGGATACCAGCTCTTCTTTGTGAGAAAATCTCTACTTATATTGTATCTTTGCTGTTCAAATCTATGATGCCCTTTATTATCTAAAAAAAGATTTGTGTTTTTATTTCGCTTTTTGGGAGCCAAGGATGGTTTGGTTCAGTAGCCTGGAAAGGAGAAAACAGTGAACACCAGACTAAGGAATTTTCTCTTGGCCAATCACTAGGAGAAACTCCTTAGTTTCAATCTGGATTGCAAGGACTGAGTGTTAAACCCTTCCTCATTTATTATTTTCCAAGTCTTAGAAACAAAATGATATACTAGAGACAGGATTTATCTCTAGTTCCCTAAGCCTCCAGTGATAATAACAGGGTTGAGGGAGGAAACCTGAGTACCTCCAGGCAGGTGCTCAGTTCCAATCAGCTACTTTCTGTATATTTAGAGCATAGTCCAGATACCGTGGTTTGGATTTATTGCCATGACTGTATGGTCAAGCCTTGCTCTTTCAGACATATTGCTCCTAGGAAACATGTGCATCCAGAGTAAAAATCAATGGTTTTTGAAAATTTCTGATTTTCCCTTACTATTTTGTAAAAAAGTCAAGAGAGACTCGGAGAAGTTATTTGGTTAGGTAGTTCAATTGGGACTGATAATGACAAATCTGGGACTGAAATTGGCTATGCCCTCTCTTTCATGTCAGCCTTTCGATAACTGTCTTACTCTTTCACTTTCTCATCCAATATTTGGAGTGACTTCATGTCCATCTAGATGACTCATCTTGCATCTGAGCCCCTTATTCCTTAAATTCTTCATCTGCTGTGACTTTGGCACTGATCCCACTTCTATCACTCCCTCCCATGGAGCATCTCATCATCTCTAACTGTCCACCTCTGAAATATCTTGGTCCCTAAGTACAGACTTTGTTTTTCTTTTATTCATTTAGTTCCTCCTTCTCTGGTCCTTAATGGTATATATAGGGGCTTTTTGTTCCTTTTGTGCCTTTATTTTCTCATTTTTAACCCCCTGCCCTAACCGTGTTCCCTTCCTTCCCCATTGGTTAGATTCCATGATCCATCTAGTCAGCCACTCTTTTTAAACTAATATCCTCAACTCCTTTTATTTATTGTTGCTTTTTTGCACATATCTGACAAAAATGCAACTCTGAACATGTTTGCTTTCTTCACGCTTCCATAAGGGCTGATAAAAGCCAATGGAGAAAGGCAGATTGATGACTTCATAACAGTAGTTCTCAAAGTGTGACCCCAGACCAGCAGCATCAGTATAATTTAGGAACGTGTTACAAATACAAATTCCTAGGGCCCCCTTCAGCATACTAAATCAGAATCTCTCAGAATGGGACACAAGAATCTGTGTTTTTACAAAGTTCTCTAAGTAGTTCTGATACACTTTAAAGTTTGCAAAATACTATATTAATTCTTGATCTTTAACCTTAACTGACTACTAACACTGCCAATCTTTATATGTTTTCTCAATTAGTAATCTTTAGTGTTTTCCATAGGAGCCTTTTCATATCTTTTTCATTCTCCTCAAATCCCTGATAGTGCCCATCTCTCCTCATTCCCCAGAGGTTATCACTCTCTGACTTATCTTAGTTTGTGCTTGAACTCCCTCAAACTCCTGCCACAACATCCTCAGACTAACCATAGTCACTTGCAGTGGAGGAGTCTTCAGTTATATATACTTGTGTTCTGGATTCCTTTCCTTTCAGCATTGGGGAACTTTTATCTTTCTCTTCACCAAGTTCTCTCTCTGTACTGGCATCCTTCACCTAATCTCATCACAACTTACATTCACACTCTTTGGGATTTTGATTCTATGTGTGATGAAAAACATTGTAGGGTTTTAAGCAAGGAAATGGCATTATCTGACAGATAGTTTATAAAGATTTTTACCCTTCTTCTGTGGAGACTGGGTTGCATGAGGCAAGAGTTGAAGCAAGAAAACCAGTTTAGATATTATGGAAAATCTGAAGAGCAGGGATGGTGGCTTGGGTCATGGTACTTGTCGTGGAGTTGTAACTAACTTTGGGGGCGTGAGTTGGAAGTAGAATTAAAGATAAAGGTGGTGGTCAAGGATGATCTTAATCTTTGGTTTTAATAACTATGTTAATGGTGATGCTGTTTACCAGAATGAGGAAGCCTGGGAAAGAATAAAATGACTGGAAAAAAATCAAGACTGTTTCTGGCCTTGTTAAGTTTCAATTGTTTATTGGAGATCTGTGGGGTGATAGGCAGCTAAACATTTGACTCTAGAGTCCCATGAAGAGATCAGGGATAGAATGTGAATTTAGGAATCTTGGCCTATAAGTAATATTTAACACTCTAGTATTTGATGAAGACACTTTGGGACAGGGTGTAGAAAGAGAAGATTGCCTATGACAAAGCCCTGAGCTACCCTAATATTTAAAGTGGGAGCATGGAGGGACAATTTCTAGTACAGGAAACTGAGAATGAGCAACTGGTAAATTAGGAGAATTTCTCAGAAGATGGAAGTAGTCAGCTTATGCAAAATTCTGCTGAGAAGTAAATTAAAATAAGAACAGAGAAGTAACCATTGTAAATGGCAACATGGAGGCCTCCAGAGAGCTCAAGGAGTATAGTCACAGTGGAATCCTGACAGCAGAGGTCTGATTAGAATGAGTTGAGGAAATCATGTTGTTGAATTAGTCCTGCCGAATCATGTAGTCCTGCCTAAGGAGAAGCTGGGACATTTGTTTGTTCTTTACTCTAATCCTTAATCAACAGATTCCTGAAATCAATATCAGTCTCAGAACAGGTGCTTAAGTTCTGCAAACTGATACAGACTTTCATAGAAATAGGAGTGGTTGTTAAAAGCTCATATTTGAAAAGTTTAAATGAAGGTGCTGGCTGAGCACGGTGGCTCACACATGTAATCCCAGCACTTTGGGAGGCCGAGATTGGTGGATCACTTGAGGTCAGGAGTTCGAGACCAGCCTGGCCAACATGGGGAAAACTCATCTCTTTTAAAATTACAAAAATTAGCTGGATGTGGTGGCAGGTGCCTGTAATCCCAGCTACTCGGGAGGTTGAGGCAGGAGAATCGCTTGAACCAGGGGGGCGGAGGTTGCAGTGAGCCAAGATCATGCTACTGCACTCTATCCTGGGTGACAGACTGAGACTCTGTCTCAAAAATAATTAGTTAATTAAATAAATAAACAAAAAATCATAAAGGTGCCATGAATTTTAACAGAGCTGGCATGTTAAAAGTTAATATAGAATCTATACAATTCAGCTGTCTTTGAAACTTGATAAAACAACCACCCAGACAAAATGAGTTAAGTTAACAAAAGGTACAGTATTAAAACAAACTGGAATTGGATTTTTACCTGGGATAAGTCAAGTTTAATATGATCAGTCCATAGATATTTGGAAATTGGCAATATATACACACAAACTTGCCCGCATATCATTTTTATTAGTTCAGTCCTTTGAGATAGTATATTTAATTTCATGCTTGATAAAATATGAGAAATAACATCCTCATCAGCATACATTTACCAAGTCCGTGATGTGGTTATGCAGGAAAGGACATCTGGAAATGAGCAGTATAACGATTACAATATTAGGAAAATACAACTTGTAAAGAAGAAGGTCTTAGCCAAATTCCCAACTCATAATAACTGATTATCAGGCAGTACAGGAATTAAAAATGGTGAACGCGCCATCTACCAAAGTGTCATCTTAGGGAGCACACTGTAGACAAGACTGTTGGCCACAAAAATAGTATAAATAGTTATCATCAGTTAGTAACCCAGGTATCTTCCAGTATATTGTAGTTTGTTACCAGGATATTATATCCACATATAGTTCACTTGTAATCGTATAAATGCAAGGTTCCTTTTGCAATGGAGCATTTTGGAGAGAATCTTTCACTTCGGACTTTAAATATACCTAATCACTTATATAATATTTATTTTCCTCCTTCATTTAGACCTTCCTATTTTAAGTTAGCAATAAAGTATTGAGCACTTATTACGTGCAAAGCACTATACTTGTGTTCCCTTAAATATATGCATATAAGAGAAGTAAGCCCCAAATGATTTAATCCTTATTTTAGAATGAATGAGTTGCTAACATGCTAGTGTTGTTACCCAAAGGGTGTGAATACCAAATGTTTCGTTCCTACCAGCTCATGACCCCCATCTTCATCGAAGTCCTCCTCTATCCCATCTGTCATCTCTTCTCCATCAGCATCTGGCCCTCCTTCAGCAGGCTCCTCTGTAGAGTGATCTGCAATCTCTGACACACATTCCTCTTGGATCAGCACTAGACTCTCTTCCAATTGCTTCTTCTGAGCTTCTAGGGGGGAAAAAGCAAATGACTACTACCTTGGGTTGCTCATGAGCCATTTGGATAAACCATGAAAAAACAGTCCATGAAAGGGTAAACTCTATATGCTATTAAAGGTGTACAGAAGGTTAGGTAACATTATGCTTTAAGTGATTTTTTTCAATTATGTACAGTTTTCTATGTGCACTTACATGTAAGCATATTTAACAGAATTAGCAAAAATTAGGGAATCCAGATGGCAGTAGTACATAAATTAGGAAGATTTACATAAACAGATTGATTTTTCTGGCTACTTTATTTTATATATAGTGCTTTCTAAAAAGGATGGTCTTTCTGAGAGGAAAATAGAGCAAAAACAAATGGCAAAAATCAGACTCATCATAGAAATTGTTCACTTAAGGAAGCAGGATGGAGAGAATTCATTGACAAGTTCAAACCTAAGTGAAAAAGACAAAGAAAAACTCACTGAGGAGAAAAGTACAAAAGCAAATATGTTGTTTTTTTTCAAAAAACATGTCTATGTGAACAATACCCTGAAAATTTAAAGTCTAAATTCTGTTGACAGATGTGGTTAACTTCAATGGTTAAGAACATAAATTCTGGGGTCAGACAACCTGGGTTCAAAGTTGAGCTTCATCACCTAATAGCTTTGTGATGCTGTTCAAAGTCAAAATGATTAACCCTCCATGTGTCTTAGTTTTCTCATCCATGCAATAAGGACAACAATTTCCTACACTTTCAGGGTTTGGTGTAGTGAACCAAAGTGTTAGTATAGTGACTTGCAAATAATAAGTGCTCAACAAACGAAGCTACACTCTACATTAGTAGAATTTCTTCTAGTTGTCAGGATCTGTGCATTCCATTCACAGAAACCTGCACAAATGGAAAGTGTGCTGACAGTATCATAATTATTTCCTCTAGTGGGTGGTATTCATTTCCTATGATAATATAAAGAAATGTTGGGCATCTAATAAATTAGATCGTCGTATGTTCCTCCTTCTCTACCTTATTCCCATGTGTTCATGACTATTCCAAAGTTGGTTGTTTTCACTAATTTTGCTGGGTTTTAAAAAATCAGATTATTAATCTATCCTTTGATCTGAGTTTTTAAATAGCCTAAATTTTGATAATTCATTACAATAAAGGTAGTTTATAGAGCTAAATAACTTTAGGGTATTCATTTCTGGTCTTTTTCATAATGTGAGATTAAAGGAAAACGAGCACTGATATAAACATTTTGTCTCAGCACGAAACTTTTCAAACAACTAATATGTAAATTAACAAACTGATAGAAATATAATGTACAAATAAGCAAATAAGCAGGTATTCTTTCCAAGAAATTGTTTACAATTAAAATAATTTTATAAATAAATATGTACCTGTACCTTCTTGCATTTTAATTCTCCAAATGATAAAGTTTATTGAAAATAAGACAGTAGTAGAGGGTTGTTTTGCCTTGCCTCTGTTGTCAAAGTTTAATTACTCTGAGCTCTAGTTGACAGGATTCTAGCTCTAGCTTTGTTACTTACCCACTGAATTATAGACACTGAGTTTGAGTCTAAGTTTTGGCCATTTGGTCAGGTCAGGTCATTTAAACAGATTAAGTCATTCTTTCTTCATCTATACCTACCTCTGGGTTTTACTGTGAGAATTAGCAGAGCTTGTATTTGGGAAATGTTCTGCAAATTATAAAGGACTACATAAATGTGTTCCGTGTTCTATTAGACACAAAAGGGAGATGGTATGCTCTTACTGTGAGTATGTTGAAGGAATAACAACAGTAAGCGTAGATCAAGAGGCCTGTTCAGATCAGAGAATAACACACATGGGGCTGAGCCTCTGTTTCAGAGGAGGAAAGGAGCTGGTGGATCAAACCAAAGCTGCAAATAATTACTATGGGTATCATAAATGACCAGAACATAGGCTCCCTTTCATTAAGAGAAAGACATTTACTTCATATAAATAGACACAAGCTATACACGTCTTGATGTTTTTAAAATCAACTTATTAGGTTCAAATTTCTCCATTTAACAACATTACTAGTGCAGTAAGGATGTGAACTCTGCTTTTAAAACTGTACTTTTTATCTTGATATGCATATACAGATGTACTGATGGAAGGAAGTATGGTATATAAATTCTTCCCATTTTTCCTAATGTCTATATAGCATTTAGCACAGAAAGTCCTGTGAAGACTATAAAGTGGTTATTGTAAAATATAACCAAGATTTTTTCTAAATACAGAAAATTATCCAATTTAAGAAGGTAGAAGTGAGTTAAAGAAAAAAAATCTGTTTAATCTAGAGAAGACTCAGTTGTCTGAATTAAAAGGAAGGTAAATAAGGCAAGAAAGACCAAAAACACTCTCAATTTTACTCTTACTGAATATTTCTAGGTTTTATTCTCATTTTCCTTCCAGATATCATTCATTGTGCTCTACAATTCTAGATCTGCAACCTAGGTCAACCCACATACACATCTATGAGTAGGCTCCACTGAGAAAACGATGTGATAGGTCGACTAGCTCGAGCACTGGACAGTTTTGAGTCCTCTACCAATAATCACATCTCTTGTTCTATTCTGTTGCCTCTCCTATCACTGATCCTTTGACTGCACGATGGAGGTGGCTACTCTGGTTTTGGCCCCCACTCTTCCTCCTAAAAAAGGTTTTTGTACATATCATCTAAACCCCTCACCTCTTGCCACTGTATGTCACCATTCCACTTGTTTGAAATGCCCTAGCTTTCAAGACCTGGTGCTGGTACCTCAAGAAAGAGGGAGAAATAGAAATTTGGGATTCTTATAATTCTATGCAGTGAAAAATGCTTTGAATCTTATAATTTTTTTAAAACCAAACGTTCTCAATGTTAGGTTATTGTGTTTATCAAACCAAACATTCTCAATGTTAGATTATTGTGTTTATCTTTTTGTTACAACACATAAATGGACTTTTGCTTAAGACTGACAAATATGAGGAATTCAACTGGCCTAGCATATCCATTTCTTCTCTCATGATTCCAGAAACATTTGGTTTTTGAGAACGCTTATGTTTTGATTTTGAAAGTAACATATACATGTGTGTGATATATATATAATATTTATATATAATATATATAATTTATTTATATCACACACACACACACACACACACATATATATATATAATTTTTTCTCTAGAAGATCTCTGGCCAAGGAAGCATAGCAGATTTTCAAAGGACCCCTGTAGGACCCGACTTTAAAGATGCATAGTCCTCATCTGGCTTCATATATCAATTTGTTTCAGCTTGTATCAGGAAAGCTGACTTTCCTGATCTTCCCAGCTGAATGTAATCTTTCCCTCTTTGATCAACCAAGGCCCTGATCAAATGCTGTCTTATAGTTAGTTCTATTTTCTTATCTTTTCATTAGTGTTTAAGCTTCCTGGAAATTTGAGCTATTGCCTCAGAAGATCGTTGTCACACTAAAAGGGGATGATATAGAGGTTCATCTTCTGTAAACTGAAAAGCACAATACAAGTCAGTTATCAAAACATTTTGTTGTGCTCTGTAGCCCTCACTAAATGCCTTGCACATGAAGAGGTAAGGTATCAGGAAGGATATAGAGTTTGAGATCCATACTTCTGCTAATTACTAGTCCTATTAATTGTGGTTTTCTTCTCTAAAAGGTAAGCATGAAAATAACATCTATTTCAGAGAATTGCTGTGTGCTCTAATGAAGAAAAAGATGTGAATGTGTTTTTTAGACTGCAAAGACCACACAAACGTGTTATAACAGGTTCAAAACAGTTCTTGAGTTGAATCTATATTTATTTCTTGATTGCTATAGACACATTTCCCATGTCAAAATTATTCACCCCTACTGATCATTAAGAATCAGGCACTACAAAGATTATTTTGAATTTTGGTTTCAAAATGGCCTTTTTAGTTCTATGTTTAGACAGGCATAGTCTAGTACTGATACAGTTTGGCTGTGTTCCCACCCAAATCTCATCTTGTATTGTAGCTCCCATAATTCCCACGTGTTGTGGGAGGGACCCTGTGGGAGATAATTGAATGATAGGGGTGGTTTCCTCCTAGTAAATAAGTCTCACAAGATCTGATGGTTTTATAAGGGGTTTCCCGTTTCTCCTGATTCTCACTCTCTTGCCTGCTGCCATGCAAGATGTGCCTTTCATTTTCTGCTGTGATTGTGAGGCCTCCCCAGACACATGGAACTGTGAGTTCATTAAACCTCGTTTTTAAGTTAGCCAGTCTTGGGTATGTCTTTATTAACAGCATGAGAATAAACTAATACAGTACATAGTACATAGACACAGTTACTCTATTTTTTGCATTAATATACAACATACATGTGATTCTGATGTATTTCAAAGGCAGGGGTATATTAATACAGTTCATTGCAAAAAATCTTATATATTATTCTCATCATCCAATCATTAACTTGAAAGCTAAATGCTTAGAAGTCATTATCTGAGTTGAGCAAAAAAAAAAAGCTTTAATTATAATGGTAATTGATTCATAGGAGTTTAACAAATACAATCAGCCTGTGCTTTAGTAATAGGTAGTGAACATAGCTTTTGTCATCTCAATGGGAAATATTATAATCACTAAACAATGATAGGTTCCATGAATAAAATCACACATGAAAGCACATCTTCTTTATTAAACTGTTGGTTCACAGTTTAATAGGCAGTTTTGATTCAGTAATTATGTTGCTGAAATAGAGATAAAGCAACTTGTTCTTTTTTTTATAAATAATTATCTAATTTTACTTTTCTTAGAGATGAGTAATGTTGTTTAGTTTATTCTTAACTTTATACAGTTCTCTTTATTTGCATAGTTATTTTTCTAGTCATCACTCTTTATTGTCAATGTGAGTGTGTGAGTGTGTATGTGTGTTTGCGTGTATGTGCATTTCTCTCTCTGCCACTAAAGCTTCTTTGGGGCAGAAACATTTTTGTTATTCATCTTTGTTTACCTGGTGGCTAACTCAGACCCTTAATCACAAATT